AATAGCCATGGGGAGCATATTAGGAAATACACTTGGGAATAGACATGCAGAAATAGAGCTACCTGGGCTACATTTTAAAGCATGTCCTTTTCAGGTGGCTAAACTTATTCAGGTGAAATTCTTTTCTGTTTCACCTCCTGGACAGCTCTCTGTGACATCTGTGCTTAATACCACATCTGCCAGCACAGGAATACTCAAAAATTACACTTTGAAATAATGGAGCCTTAAGTCTTCTCTGTGAGATCAGCCTTTAATACCAGGTTGTGCTTTTTTTTTTTAATTGCTATTTTTTCTCAGTTAGACACCCTCACCTTTATCCCATGCCACTCCTTTATTGTGGGAATACACCCAGCCAAAATCACCAAGGTACTTCCTTCCTTTCTAAATTCACCACAGTTGTGAAGCTTGTCAAGTACTAGCATATGGATAATGCACTTGGTGTGGTGTGACCTCTGTTTGCTATGTTAACCATAATCCTCACATTTTTACCCTGTTTTTCACTTCTTTCCCCTCTCTATTTGGTCATATTCCTTTGTACGTTACTGTGTTTCAGTATGTGCTGGGATTTGTGTATTGGTTTGAGGCAGGGACCATTTTTTTGTGTACATGTAGCAGTTAGCAGTTAGCACAGCTCAAAACAGCAGGGGAAGGTTGGATCACCATGTAATTAATATTAAAGCTTGCAGGAAAGTAAGTGGCGCAACCAGACCCTGGTACAATAATCATCAGTATTTTGTATCCTTAGCTGTCTCTCCCATGAGTGCAATTTTGTACAGTAACAGGGAATGGAAAAAAATCAGACCATCTCCTGGCCAGTGCAGTCAGGCTGACACAATAGCAGCTACATCTTGCTGACCCTTGTAGGTCAGTTAAGAAATGTGTAAGAATGTCCTTACTTAATGTTATCCAGCAAGACACTGGATATTCCACACAGTGGAATTTATTCACTTAAACAAATCCTGAATACAGCATATTCTACAGTAGTATTGCATTTTATTTAAATGGTATGCTCTGTCTCACCCCTCCAAAATGTACGGTATATCCTAAGCCTGTGGTCCTGCCCCGAACCATCCTGTATCTGTAATCCCATTGGCACAAGTCTGATTCCGCGCTCACTTTCAATCTCCCTCTTAAACCGTGCAAGCGAGACCAGTCTCTCTCTTAGCCTTTCTCCCCTCTTAGCCCCTTTTTCTCCCCTCTTGTCCCTCCCCTAGGCCCTTTCCTTTTCCCCCTCCCTCCCTCTTTCCCCTTCCCCCTCAGTAACCATGCTGCTCCCAGGGATGGACCCATCTAATCAGCACCCTCAGAAGCTGTGTGGAGTCTCCTTGCCTGCTGCTGCCAGCCAACTCACAGCCTAGGAGACCCTCTGGGGACACCTTGGGGTGCCCCCCCCAAAACGAGGGGTGCCCCCCCCAAAACGAACCACAACACTCTACCTTGTAAGCACCTTTAGGGTCAACACCTCCCAGACAAACTTTCCCAAACACAGTTTTTCTAAGTGCGAAATTTGTCCCTACATTGTTTTCACATTGTAAAAGTGCATTTAAATGTTACCAGACAAAAAAGAAAAGCAAACCATAAACAGTTTGAAGTAGATCTGACACAAAGAAAGTACTGTTGCCCAGGCATATATCCCAAGGAAGTTTATTCAGATCCGACCCTGCAGGCCAATCAAATAAGAAATCAAAAATTCAAAAATGACTATAGACAAAGATTATGGAGGAGTACAGCTCTGTAAGTGAACAATCTCCTGAATTACTTCTGCATTTCAAAATGGGAAGATAGTACTTTCTTGCTTTCTGACTAAAGTTAGAAACACATGCACAGAAATAGGCACCTAGATTAATGACCTGTTTTCCAAAATATCATAAATTCCCAGTCATCAAAGGCACCTTCGAGTCTTCATTTACAAATTTAGACCACGAAGCTTGAAAAATGTGTCCTTTGCCTCCCAACAGCACCTATCCGAGGCAAAATTGCTTCACCTGACATGGTTATGGCAGATGGATGTAAACTGCTTAGTGTGACAAATCATCGGTGTCTAGAGGCACTGCTCGGAAGCTGGGGCATGCTGCCAGGCTGTGGGCTTTCCCTTTCAGGGGCTCTGCCTGCTCAGTCCTGGCCCCAGGACACAGTGCCCAGCTGCTCTGGTCCCATCATACTGTGCTCACTGCCATGTGTTCCCATAGGCCACTTTGCCTGTTACTAGCAAGGATGCTGTGGCAGCAGGGAGCTCTGCAAACCTCACTGAGCATGATGCTGAGCCAAGGGGTCAGTCTGGTAGACCTCTTTGCTGCCAGGGTATGCTGCTAGCAGCATTTTACAGCTAGGACAGTGTAGTCATCCCAAGACATAGGCAGTTCAGCATGAGTAAGGCTGTTTTGAAGTCACAAGCCTATATTGGATTTCCATGCAGTCATTGACCTTAATCTGACATTGTCTTGTGAGAAGGCAGTATGAAAACATTACAACTCCTTCTCACTATAACTTTTGATTTACAGTGAACTAAGTAAGCTTCATCTGCTAAGGAGACATAATATAAAATTCTCTGCTACAGGCATGGACTGCCAGCGTGAAGAGGGAGCAATGGAAAACCTCATCTCTATGAGGGAGAATGAGCAGCAGATTTGTTCTGGCTAGTTTAATGCAAATTGTAGAATTTTCTTCAGCTGGTCTTTAGAGTAATTCAGTGACTTACGTTTGGTGAAGTCCTATCTTTCATAACAGCTTGAACTTAAGATGGCAAAAGACAGAGGATAAAGAACCTCATGGGGTTTGTTCCAGCCATTAATCATCCTTGTGGCTGAGAGATGCATCGTATCCAATGTGCCCAAATCCAGCTTCCAGGCACTGGTACTTGTCATGCTTCTCTGTTTTGTTGAATAGCCCTTTGGTACATTGTATTTTCTCTCTTTTAAGACAGTAATATCTTATCTGCTGGTTTAAAGAGACATTGATTTATCTTCTTTTTAACAAGCTAAAAAGACAACCTTCTCTCTCACCATAACAAGACTTTTTCTAGCTTGGAAGTAAACACTAAGGTTGTTCACTGCACTTGCAAGCACATTTTGACTTTTCAGAAAGGAGATACCATCATCTAGCAGAACAACAGTTTATATTTCTAGCTGTAGGAATCGGAGCACAGACCGAGTTCTCCAGGGCCTCCTGGCACAAAGGTTAACTCTGCATATATCAAGCTGTACTTCTCGTATCAAGTTCTTCCTGAACTTCCAGTATTGTATTGTTTCATTTGAGAGTACAAAGCATTACCAAATTAATTTTAAGAAGTGCATATTAAGGTAACATTCCTCCACATGCACAGTAGCATTCTTTCTAGCCATATGTCTATTTAAAAAACATAAAATATCTTAAGGAAAAATAAATTCTGTCTGCAGTAATACAACTAATATCATTCCCTAAAACCAGTCCTTTGATGTCTGAAAGTGCAGAGAAGCTTCTAATCACTCGCAAATCTCTCTAAATAGAAATAAATATATATAATGTTGGGATTTTTTTCCCACGTCAAGCTTTTAGGTCAAGAAGTGATGTGTTAAGGTATCTCAGGGATGGTCTGAAGTTCAGTCCAGATCTAATGATCCAGTGGGTTGCTTATGGAGGAAATGCTAAAACATCCTTAAGGAAAGCAATGGTGGCTGTTTGCAGTGATTCCCAGATTGCTTGCAACAGGTCTGAAGACTACATATATATATATATATATATATATGATAACTCTTCTGTTGTTAAACACAATAGTACAGGTCAGACAGGACATGGTTAAAAATGCCTCTGATCCACAGTATTGTTCAGTGGCCAGATTGGGGGTTTCTGTCTCAGAACAAACTACAGAACATACACTTCAAAAAGGAGAATAATTATGTAGGGGCATTAAATGTGCTTTCAGAAATATCTACAAAATGTTCCAAAGTTCTAGTTTGTCCCTGGGAAGCTGATATATCAGTGTTACAGCCTTCAGTATTTCAACAAAGGTAAGAAAATGAAACAGATTTAAAAGAAAATAGCAATTTCATACTGTCATATGCAATAATGTCTTGAGCTCAAGTGGCTCCATTAGACTGAGAAAAAATACAGTCTTCAGAAAGCATTATTCCTTTTAAATATAATTATTTTCCTTAAGAAAAGAAACATCTTAAAGTGACTGCAACTGTCCAGCCTTGCTCTGATTTCTGTACACCAGCCTGTTGGATTAACTGTACAGGAGATTTAAAAGGGTTATTCTAGGTTCCACACCACTGGTGGAAAAATAAAATTACACCAGACCCAGACTGAATTAAGTAGTTAAGAATCCAGCCTAACACGTTATAATCACCTTCTTGCTACTGATGTAATGTTTTTCAAGCAAAGCCACTATGATCTTTAGCCCCTGATATAAATGGATTTGCTAATGATTATAGCAAAATCAAAACTGAGGGTCATTTTTGGTTCAATATTTTTGCAAAGTGATTTGGCACATGTAATGCTTAGTGATAAAGCAAAAGCAGCATTGAACCTGTAATAGATACACACGGAAGGGATGAGGGTAAAATAAAATAAAACTTTATCCATTTGAGAAGAAAGTTCCTCTTCCTGCTCTTCAATTTTTTCTGTTGTTTTCCTCCTTCCTTCTTTCTTTCTTTAACTTGCTTTTCTTTCTCTAGCCTTGTCCATTCTAGAAAACAGTTATATGTTTGCTGAGTTCCTCTTTATGAATACCATAGCTCATGCTATGCTTATGTATCTTTCTTACTACAGATATTTAGGTGAAGTCAGACTTTAATTAGAATCTTCAAAGACTTCTCCAGCTGATAACAAGATGCTCACAGAGGCTGTGAAAGCCACACTTCTTTGTTGTTTAAGAGAGGCTCTCACTCACAAAGGGCACTTCAGGACAAGATCTTCTCCTCACTGTTCAGAATCAACCCCTGGAAACTATTCTCTTCCTTAATTTAGAAGCAACAGTACAAAATCCTTCCCATATCACATACCTCAAGTCTCATCCCATGCTAGACCCCACACCCTGTGTGTGGAATGTCCCGCACCCTGGAGCAAGGTGTTTCAGTCACTGTTTCTGCTGTTCATGGTGTGCTGACTCTGGCCCCCACGGAGCTGGAGTAGGCAAAGGAGCCTGGTGCAGGGCAGGGGGGCAGATGATGTGCTTCAAGCTCACTACTACCACATCCCTGGGAGCTGAGGGACACCCAGTCCCTCAGAGTAGTGTCAGCTGCAGTAAATATCTCTTTTCTGGCCTTCCTGGGGAGAGAAAGCTGGGTAAAAATTCAGGATGATCAATCCACCACATTTATTATACTATGTTTTCTTATAGGACAGGCATGGCACACACATATGTGAACAATGAGGAAGAGGAGAAGACACAGATGCATGTTCCAGAGTCTCATGTCATACTGTGATGGATCCTCCATTGCTTGACATTTTCACTACTGCCCCAGTCTACCCCATTTTGGCACTCATCTTGTTCCTGCATTGAAGTACCCAATGATGTCATGTTCCTGAACAAATGCCTGTGCTATTCCTTACACAGGACAGAAGGAAATTTGCCTACTGCAGAGGGAGGTCCTGATCCTATCTGACACAATTTGAATATCCAAGTCAGGCAAACAAGTTCCCTTGTGGGAATACTCTTCTCTGACATGCCCAACTGGGGAGTTTGACTGCATTGTTGAAACTGCCATATCTCTGAGTGGGGTATAAACCTGACACATGAGAAGGTTCAGTGTCCACTGACTACTGAGCCTTTACAGAGCTGGGGAAGAAGTCAGATCATGATCTCAGTTTGATTTTCTATTTGACAGAGCTTTTCAAAGGCATGAGCAAACCTAATAGCTGCTTATGAATATTAATCATAATGTGCATCACCTCTTTTCATCCAGCTATCAAAAGTGGGAGTGAACTTAGAAACTCCCATTGTGCAGAGAAGGAAGCAGATACTGAGTGACTCAATGAAGCAGAAAGAAGAAGCAGTCTCCTGACTCCTCCTATCCACTCACCCTCTACAACCGGTCTTGCTGCTCTTGGCTGTCATTTGTGAGAGGTGTTAGTAAACACAGCTATTCTTAGCTGTCCCAGACCCATGGACACCACCCTGGGCTGAATACCTGTCAAGTACCCTAGATATGTTCAGGGATCTAGGGCAAATGCTGATCCAAATAGTTTCCATTCCTGTGGAGAGGGTAGATGGGAGGTGCAAGTGCCTTTCCTGTATTCAGCAGCAGCAGCAGGCCCAGCACACCACTTGCCTTGTCAAATTCTCCCAAAAAGGACTTCTTTGGGGACCTCTCCACTCACAATCTGTTCCTGTGGTGTACTACTTGTAGGTGAAGAGTTTTATTACAGAAGGAGGTCAGCAAAAGTGTGTTTGAATCTCAGCAGCAGAAGCTCCACATCCGAAGGCAGGACTCCACCACACTGTTGTCCATTACTCGGTAAAACTTGAGTTACAATTCAAGTAAAAAACCTCAAATTTAGGCACCAAGCAGAGATGAGATCCCAGAAATTCAGATTATGCCTGAGAGATCTTGCTGGAAAATGTTTGGTAGATGAGCTAGCAGCTAAATCCACAATGACAACGTGGAAGCCAGAATAGATTGCAGAGGGTCTCAAGGGTTACTCAGATTATGTGCTCATTTATGTCAGCAGTGTTGGCAATTTGTCTTCTACATAGTGGCAGAATATCAGCTTAAATCTACTTTGTAGCTCTCTAAAAAATGAATGCATTTTCTTGCAGAGCATTAAAGAAAAAAAAAAACAAAATAAATACTAAATAATACTAAAAACTAAATACAAATTGACCTGTCCTTTAGACAGGAAGTTATTTCATTACTAAGTTCAATATAAATAATTCCTTTGCCAATACATAATAGAACTCTGACTCTAGCTATCAGATAAGCAAAACCTTAGTCATATGGATGAGAACTGGAAGAAATAATTAGCTAAAGAGCGGCAGTTTTAACAGTTTTGTGTTTGATTCCCATGGAGAATTTCATATGTCAGCCACATTTTCTGAACAAAAAAAATTTTGGCAGTCCTGTGGAAAGTAGTATATATACAGATAGACTCATTGGCTTGCTTTCACCCAAGCTTGTTTTGATACAAAGAGATAAATGCATTCATTGTTTTATGGGTGTCTTAAATTTGGACTTTTAGCTGGTACAAATCAGTGGGCTTTCAGTGATCCAGGTCTGAATTAAATTCACCAAAGTCAAGGCAATGCACTGCAGTGAAGCTAAAGTGATTTGCACTTGCTGAAAATCTGGTGAATTTTTTAAGCCTCTTTTGTAGTGATATAAATACAGCGCAAAGTCAGTGTGAAATCATGGATGCATAAGAATTTTAATACTTGGCTATAACACATATGTATGCAGCTACATAACTAAAAATGTATTAATATTTGTTTTACTCCCCAGTGCTTGTCGCAGGTTTAACGGAGGGGAATACAACTGTGTGACTCTAACTCTGATTGTTCTTTACAAGTGATGCTTCTGGTGCCACTTTATCTGTAGATAAAGGTGGGTCCTTACACTCATGCTCCCTCTGTGTTGCGGGAACTGTAGGTCAGGCAGTTCCCACATAGCTATGAGCATCAGCTCCAGCAGTGGTCCATCAGCCTGGGCTTCCCTCTGTTCTGACTGTTGTAACAGCCCTAGTCAGGAGCTCCTGGCATATCAAATACCCTATGCTCAAGCCTTCTGGTGGAGGAAGAAGAAACATAAAGAGTAAAGACTTAAAAATGAGGGACAGTAGGACAAGAATTAGTTTAGGCAAGAGATACAAAGTAAAGCATGTAGACCAAGGAGGCATGGGCAGAGATAAAGATGACAAACTGTGTTAGGGCAGAGACTAAAGAAATAAGAATAATTTTTAAGCAATTCCGGGGGTACGCTTCTGCCCAAATCTTGGAACCACAGCTATGTCTCTGAGTCATAGCTCCTGATGGTCTCTTTCTGTTAATCTACATCTGCAGCCTGTAGAGTCATTCCTTCTTAGCATTGGCAGTTTCTGAGCAGTTTTCTGTTTGCTCTTCTCTTCTTATTGTGGCTAAATGATGAAATCTGTCTTGCAGAGGCTCCATCATGGGACAGTTTCCCTGTAAGAGTATGTGTAGCACTAGTAGTTCTGCCAACAGGATGATTTAGCCCTGGTTTTCAGGACAGACAAATAATTAGTTGGCATTTATGCTTCTATTCCCATCTAAGAGTCACCATGGCTGTAATGTTTTGTGCCTTGTTCATCACATTCACCACCACAATATTTATTTTCTTCTGTTTGCTCTGACTTCAGACAAAAGGTGGCTTGCTGTGGGATTCAAGGAGAGAATGATGTAAATGTCTGTGTCGATTCATGTAAGTATTTTCTACTGCTGCTGGTATTGCGAATGGTAGCATTCCCATGAATACTAACATTATGGAAGAAACTTCTACAGTATTTGCTATATTTGCAATATTTGCTATATTTGCTGTGTTTTTCAACTGTTCCCTGTTCTCAACAGCACAGAGCTGTGAAGTCCAGGTTTCCAGCACGGGAAGATGAGCTAAGGAATGAAAATCTGCTATGTACAGTTTATTCCTTTATGTGAATTTCCTCCTGCTCAGCTTTAAAATACTTTTCTCGTGCAAGAAGAAATTTCCAGTTGACAAACAGCTTGATTTGGAACCCATTCAAGTGATAGTAAAACATTATATATCTGTTTCTGGAAGGAAAAAAAATCACCATAGTGAAACTTACCTTTAAAATAAACATGCTAAATATCTCTGATGGGCACATGCTTGGTGATGAATGTTTATCATGGTTCCTTTTTAAGTAGTGTCTTCTATTTTTATGCTGAACTTTCTCTACACTGGTGACACAATGTTATCTCAAGACCTTTCAGCCAGATAAGACCACACCAGTTTTCTCAAAAAGGTCTTCTGTCTAAGATTTTGTACATAATTGGAGTAGGGAGGCACTGTGGGAAGCAGAACACCAACTATATTTAAATTAAGAATTCTTAAAAGTTGATATTAGATAGGGAGTTGACCTGAAAGTTTTTGGTAACTGACATGACTTCAAGATAGGCCTCATAATTTGTCAAAATACTTTGGACAGATACTTGTGAAAGTAAGAAGAGTCTGCACAAAAAAGAATAAGAAGAATCAAAAATCTCTGTGACCGTCGACCTTGGGTAGAGAAAAGTCACGGCACCAAAAAGCACCCCTACCAGCCTGTGACTAGGCATCTTGAATGGAGCTAAAGTCTGTCTGAGAGATATGATGACAAGCAGATCACCATCTGCCTTATTGGCTGCAATCCTAGGTTTTGCTTCATACGAATCCAGAAGCCTGAAAGAGTTGATATGTTCTCAGACTTCAACTGTCTTCAGAAATTTATTATTACTTCCACCCTCCCCCCGCTTCCCCCCTCTCCATTATTCTGTGCTGTGAAATGCCATGGTATTTTTTTGTGGTTTTTTTGTTCCCTAATCTGATGTGTGAAAATCATCAAATGCATGCATATGAGCACATGGCAGGTCGATCTAGGGGAGGCTATACTATCCAAATAATATTTTATAAAGTTGGTTTTAGAATCTATTGTACGTTTAAAAGTATGAAAAGAATCAATTATCTACAAATCTTGGTAAATAAAGTTTTCAATACTTCATATCAAATTAATAAACATCTCTGACGGTAGAGGCAGGGAAAAGCAGCAACTAGATTTTCAAGGTTGCCAATATGATTTTCGAAAGCACACAGAAGGCTGTCTAAGTACTCAACCATTCAGCAACATAGTTCTAAGAAGAAAGCTTTAATCATGGTTTCTAAGATAATCAAATTGTCAGATGGTAGTGTTATTTCAGCACACAGAAGATTAACATTTTCAATAACAACTATACAGGTTTCAGCAAAAGTGTCTCACTTTGTAAACAGAGGACATACCTCTTCTTTGCTTATTTTTAAAATGCATAAGGTAAGATCTATTTTTTTTTTTTAATTTGACTAAATTCCTATATAATATTGAGGCTCATCTGACTTTGGTATGGCAGTTGTAATTAGTTCCAGATTAATTGTATTGGAGCCAAACCTGCCAGTGTTTGAAGGCAGTGTCCCTGGCTGTCCATGTGTCTACTGACATGGCAGTAAAATCATTTTTGTGGATGTTTGGTGCTGGCTTAGCCATTTACTTAGTCATTTGTGTGACTTACAACTTTCTCACTGCCTCTGCTGTCCTTTTTTTCATGCAGATGCTGGAACTGCTTGTGCAACAGTCTCTCCACTGCTGCTTCTCACAGAGGGATGTCTTGAGCAAACCAAAATCTGCAAGGCTTCGCTTTTCACTGCTTGACTGGAAATCACAGAAGCTCAGACCTGAATAATGAGCAGCACAGGGCCAGGTATAGCAGGCATGGGGAAGACATCTAGAGCATTATTGTCTCCGGCATTATTCCCCAGGACAGTCCACTCTTAAAACAGAGGCTGAGGCTGTTGTCCTGATTCTGCTCTGGGGTTGGTGACAGATGGCAGAGAGGTGGCAAGAAACAGAGGGTAAGAAAACCTTCCAGTGAGTTGTGAGAAAAACATGAACCAAAATCCTCAATGCATCTTAACCTGGAGAAAGAGTCTGCAGATAAATCTGGAGCAGCTGGATTAAATGAGAAAGACCTGTAAGGAGGGAGAGCCTTGCTGCAACCTGCCTGTCCCTGAAGCAAATGATTTTAGACACCTGGCCCTTGCTTGCTATGGCAGAGCCATGTGTGGCACAAGCACAGGTGTGTTTGGTGGCTCCCGCAGTGTGATGTAGTTCAGGAGTAGACATGAAGAGCTAGATCCAAGACAGTTCAGGTGGCTAAAACCAGGGCATATAAAATCTTGCATCTAAACCAATGTTTAGGGGCTTGATTCCCTAGAGGGAGCACAGGGAAGGGTCAGTGATGCAGAGCAGGACACAGACCAGCCAATGTCAGTGTGCTGCTGCCAAGTGCTCCTGTGTAGAAACACTGGATGCAGCTGCCTTCTCATATGCTTTCAAAAACATCATCATACTTGCTGCTTGTAGCTAAATGTTGATGAAGAGTGTGCATCTCCTATATGTAAAATAAATTGGTGGCTAAAGAAACTAGGAAAATACAGAAGGCTTCACACAACCAGGACTTGCAAGAACAAAAACAATGCACTGCATTCTACTTAAAGGAAAATTGCTCAGTATTTTTCATTGGTGTGCTGTTATGTCAAAAACTTATAATTTGGGGCATGAGTATACAAGTATTCTTTTGATTTTATATCTGTGTTACTGATTTCTGGGATGAAGATTTGTGCTTCTGGCCCACTTTATGAATTCTGAATGCCACCTGCATTTGAAAATATCTAAACAATGGTTGTTCATTAGATGCTCTAAGAAGATGGTAGTATTTTACAGAAATTGTTGCATACATTTCACTGAATTGACAGGCAGAGCACACTTCTACTTTTTTAGGTCCCCATATGTCATCTACTTTGAGCAGCACAGTGGGGAACTAGGAGATTCAGAGAGGTTCCTTGCAGCCTCAACTGTTCTGTGATTCTGTGGCTTGGTGGTTTTGTGTATAAACTACTGGTTGAGGAAAATGCTGCTTTCTAGCCGTGTTTCATTTTAGACTTAATCTGTTTGTACAACTGGAGTTGCTTCTGAATCAACAGCAAAGTGAAGACGCTGATATAAAAGAAAGACAGATATTCACATTTCTGAAGAGAGTAGAAATGAGAGAAACCACAGTTGTCTCACTTTCACCAAAAGGAGAAGTAAAAACCACAAAACCAATGGTATCACATCTTCCTGTATGTAATTGTTAGCTGTCTTACTCTTAACTCTCAGTGAGTATCTGGTGCATTTATTTAATCTGATTACCTGTTTGGAGACAGCTGTCAAATACAAATTTCCAAAAACCATCTTTTGTTTATGGTGAAGACATCTTCTCTCCTGCTCAAAGCCTAAATTCTACCAATTTGATTAAAAAAAAAAAGTTTAAAAAAAAAAAGTAATGTTCTTTTTCATTTAAAAGGAGATAAAAATGGAGATAAAGGAGTGGTAATTTAAACTACCTTTGTATCACATCTGAACTCAACTATATGTCCTTCCTCTCTGGAAAATTTTGCTTCTCCCACCTAAAGTTAAATAATAAGAATGATGAATCAAATTTTTATCATTTTTAATTTGTCAGAACTATGATTTTGATTTAAAAATTTGTGTTGCTCTATCTTCTGAGATCAATTAATAGGTTAGTTTTTGGCTTCTTTTTGACCCTTTGCCTGCTGCTTGCAGAGGGTCATGGTGACTGCTAAATTCCTCAGTGGAGGACTGGTGCCTGCTGGTTTCATTGTGCCAGCCAGCCACAGTGGTCCCCAGCCAGCAGCCACTCTCTCTGGCCATTTCACTGAAACCAGGGTGACCTGCCTGGCCTGAACAGCCCATCGGTCACCACGCCACCTCTTCCTCTGCTGGGAGTCCCCAGCACTGTGCAGATGTGGGGGTTGATGTACTGAGTTCCCACACAGCTCACAATAGAAGAGGAAAACTCTTGGCTGTCTTGTTGGTCACCCAAAGGTATTTGCTTGAAGCCTATGAACTGATATCTTTAAGCTTCTGCATGAGAAGTGAAGCTCAACCTGGTCTATTTCTATCATGGGTCAAAAGAAGGAGTAAAAAATGTGTGGACTTGAGCCAGGGTCACCACCCCTGCTGTCTGGCCCTTTGCTGCACTGCACAGGTCAGGGACCAAATTTCGACCTTGCTGGTTTGGAAGGGGCCCTACGAATACAGAAGGTGGATAGGAGTGTGCACTTCTGCTCAAAACATGGTCTTCCCTGAAAGTGCCATCACAGGGATGGTACAAATGAAGAAGCACTGTGTTGGGAGATGAATGCAACCAGGAGGAGGAACAGCTTAGACAGAAATCTGCCAGTCGTTTCTGTATAGCACTTCTTGTCGACACGTCTCTAAGTGCTCCCCTGCCTTTGATTCCAGATCCTTGTCTGCTCTTTTCCTTTTCTTTTTCACCTTGCTATCAACTTTCCAGTAAAGTAGGATCTGCACTATGATGATTTCCAAATCCAAGACTATTTTTAAAGGTCAAAGAGCAGTATAATTCCTTCTAAGACATACCGGAGTGCAAGACTTGGAGCTATTAAAATGAGCTCCTTCTTCCAAGATTTTTGTTTTGGTTTTGGATTTTGGTGGGTTTTTTGTTTGTTTGTTTGTTTGTTTGGGGTTTTTTTCTTTATTTTTTTTCCCCCCTGAGTATTCTGAGTGTTTCTGGTAGCCTTCCTTTGTTTTCTGTAGTGTCACTGGGACTGGGTACCAGCCAAAGGGGAGAGCTGGAGGCCAATTGCCTGTGCCCTTTCCTCCTGACTATGAAATAACATTCATGCAGCACACTGCTGCAGTGACAGCCACCACCTGGGAAGGGGACGCAGTGTCTACCAAGCACATATGGGAGTGGGAAGGCAGGTGAGTAGATGAGCACAAACCTCCCTGATGCTGATCTATGAAAAGCATAAAGCCGTGGGTCACGTCAGAACATGCTGTCCCCAGCATCTCCCTCAGGGTTCAGCTCTCAGTAGCTGTACCCTGCTGTGCATGTACTTTCTGCATGCTGATGAGCAGTGCTGAAGACAAGTGTGCTTGTTTCTGGGCTGCATTCGGCTGGGCTCATGTCAAGTGCAGCAGGGCATGCTGGAGGCTTACAGCTCTCAGTGTGTATCCACCAGCATGCTGCTGCCCACAGTCCCACTGGCTGTCACTTCCTGAGGTCACACATGTGCACCATTGCCATATAGAAGACTGTTCACACACACCAGCCAGAGGCTCACTACCCAACAGACAACCCAATGTCTGCTCATTTTTAGTGTTTTTTTTTACCAGGACTTGTATGCTTATGCTGGCAGCCACAGTGCAGGTCAGCAAAGGGGTTATGGAAAGAACTCCCACTCCAAAGCACAGACACACGCTGCCTCACTCCTTGCACTGAAGGAAGGCCTGCTTTTAATTCTTGCCTCTTCTCTCATCTAGTTCCTCTGGTGCGCCATGACTTGCATAACTGGGCAGCACCTGAGGAAGAGCTCAGGACTCCACTTCACTCAGGTGTGGACTCAGATCCCTGCATTCCTATGGGCTGTGCTCAGTGCCAGCCCATCTGTGTCTCCTGAGAGCTGCTGAGGGCATGAGCAGCAGGGGATGAGGAGAGGCCCAATGCAACAATACAGCACAGAGAGGCTGCGGTGCAGACAGGTGTCAGTGACAAAGGAGGCTGTGGCAAACACAAGTTTCACCAAAACCATGGCAAAAAAAACAGGCTCATGATGTAGTAGAGTAGGAAAGTAACAGGAGGAAAAGGAAAGACATGGGCAAACAGAGATTTGCAAGCCAGGGTAAAAGGGGAGCAAAAAGGACAGAAGAGGGAAAGAGAAAAGCTGATGAGAAGACAAAGAGTAATAAAGAGTATTACAAAATAAGTAAGTGTCAATAGCAATCTGCTCAGGGTACTGGGCAAAAGATTATGAACTTGCAATCAATTAGAGGTGGTGAATATGCTGTATATTAGAGACAGCCAGCCAGCACACAATCAATCAATAACAATGCAGAAGTGGAGGATGGGGAAAAATTCTAATAGCAGACAGGTAACATACACATTGCCCTCTTGGTGGGATACTCCTAGAAGGACCACAGACTTGCATGTCTGAAAATCAGAGGCATGAGGAGAGGGGAGCATGCTGACAGAGTACTCTTGCACATCAAAGAGGTGTCAAGCTGGAACGGATGTCAGGATACTAATACAGATTCTCTATCAGATTTCAGATGTTCTTTTCATTCATGCCACACCTTGAGGAAGAATACAGAGAATTGTCCATACAGTTTTCTCTCTCTGGAAGATATTGGCAGGTAAGACTGGAGTGCTTAGTGGCAAAAGGTCAGCTCTGATAAATGACTGGATAATGACTGGGATGTCAAGACTCTCCTCTACCCCCCACCCCCCAATATATATATACACAGAGAATTGCAACTACCTTTTTTACTAATCTTGCCCACAAAATAATGCTCAGATGCTGCACATAAACTCAATCTAACTGACAGTGGGCAAGAAAGCATAGCCTAGATAACTGCATAATTCTCCCACCTGTTCCCTAAAACTTCTGGCATACATCCTCCAGGAGTTTGGATCTAAGAGTTCCTCATAGAACACAGGGAGGATAATCAATCTGAGAAGAAATATTTGCTGATCAAGATAAAATACAGGTCAAGAGAAATCACAAAACATCTGCAGAATTTTGTTTTTAGTTACAAATTTTATCCATAGGGCTTGACCTGAGTGCTTGGTACATATATTTGAAAAACATCCTCTCCCATTTTAGCTTCAATCTCTTAACTCCACTGGATTGCTGCCATGCTCCCGGAAGTGTGCTAAGTGACATATGCATGTCTGTTGCACTATCTCCCAAAATGTGTCAAAAAGACATATTTTTTAGAACATGCCAATAGCAACCCGACATCCTATGCCATCCCGTCCACCTCCCAGCCAGGACTTTCAAACTGTGGGGTTTGCCTGCAGGAGGCACCTGAGCACAGCACCCTCACCTCCTCCCACCCCTCTGTGCACCAAGCCTTGCCATATGTACCATGGCCAATAACGAATGAAGAAGGAATGGGATATATTATCCAAGGATGGAAAGAAAGCTCAATCTGATGAACAATTTTCCATATGAGCCAAAACCTCTGCAGAAGGGAGCAGCAGTCAATGTCTCACAGTTTCCTTGCAATGACCTATTCCAGCTCATCTAAATGATGGGCTGAGTGAAAGCTAGCTTGAGTTTTCTTGCATGTCATTCATGTTGCATGGGTCCTTTGCATCTTGTGTATGCTCACAGGAGTGCTTGTCACTAGTTTGTGACTTCTAAAGTGCTGAGACATGTTGTCTGAATACCGAGCTGTCAGTGGGAAAGAAGCTGCACTGTCAGGCTCTAAGATGCCTTAAGGCTCTTTATCATGATGTGTCCTTGAAGCTGCACAAAACAGCTGCTGCTGAACAGCTTCTCAAGACCTCCGCTCACAGGAGTCACAGCATTTCTGCCTCATCACCTGCACTGGCTGACTCTGGGTCAGCAGCATGTCTTGGCATTTTACACTGAGCTACTTGAATGGAACAGAAAGCCTGGAATGATGCTGTGCAAGTCAGCAGCATGGCTGCAGCTCTGCACAGGAGCCAGCTGGAATGATACTAGGGGTACCTGGCAGGGAAAATGCAGCCTCCTTTTGTTTGCCTATACACTGCAGGGTAAAGTTCACCTGGAAAGACATTGGTCCCACATTTCATGGCAGACCTGGAGGCTCCCAGCATAGGTACCAGTAAACATCCTAAGAGAATGATCCTGGAAGCTGTGAGAGCAAGGAAGATGTGGTCTTCACTTCTGTGCTCACAGACTGCTGTAAACCTTGTCCTGCCAAGCACTAAACAACATGTGAGACCTATGGGGTATTCTTTAGTAATCTGTATTTCAGACTGATTGTGTGTAATTAAGATCAAAAGCAGTGGATCATTTTTTCCTGCTCCATACAGCTGATGACAAACATTTGTCTTGCTTCTGGGGAAAGGTGAAAAACTCAAATTTTCATGGAATCCATGGTTTTTCTCTTGATGACTAGCCCTTTGAATGTGTGTCCAAAGAAAAAAGAAGTGGTGTTTTGTGTCTTGTCCCAGTGTAGAGCTGTATGATGGCATATTGCTTATGAGTTATATCTAAGGTGCAAGAAAATACTTTCATGTCAGTAAAACAGACTGCTATCCTGGTTGCAGCTGCTTGATGGATGACAAATTGCAGGAGCACAGAAGAAAAGGAGAAAGCTGTGACCCAGGAATTAGGGGCTTCTTTCTAGTGGCAAAGTATAACAGAAAGGGGAAGTCAGTGGCCCAGCACAGTGAGTTGAAAGGCCAGAGTATGGCCCAGAGTGGAAAGTATGGCCTTGCAGAGAGTTACCATTTTTCAGCTTGTACTTTCTCCCACAGTCCCTCAGAACAGGGAGAGAAAGAAGACAAAATAAATCTTCTGTTTTCCCTATCAGAGCCTTGATCCATTTCTGCAGACAGCGTCGTCCTCCTTCTTGGCAGTCAGATCTTTTTTCTCTCCCAATAAAAGAGCCTCTGGAGAGCAACTAAAAGGAACAACTTCACTCGAGCAGCTTAGGACAGCACATGCCGCCCTACATGGCCAGATTGAAATCTGAACTTCTGCCCCTTCCTTGTGCATGAGTTCATATTTTGGCAAGTCTGTAGAGTTTCTAAACAATTATATGTTTAGTTGACTGGTTCAAAAGGGGAAGCCACTCCAGACGAGTAAATAAGATACAGAGATAAGTTTCTTGAGAAATTAGGGTCTCAGTGAATACACAAATATACAAAGGATGTATAAATAAATCACATTTATAAATAGTATACTTGTGTACCATTATTCACACTAGCTTTCTTCTCCAGTTACCAATAAAAATAAAATAATTACATAAGCATTTTTTTCTTAACTGTATTCAAGATGGCCAACATGATGGCTTGAAATCATTAGAACACACAATAAAAAGATGCTGTTTCCATACAGTAAAAAGAAACATTCCTGTATAATGTCTCTCATTTTTATTTAATGCATTCAGAGAAGTTATTAGTCTTGTTCATCATAAAACAATAGTTTTTCCTGTTTTCCTCTTACCAGTAGCACCGAGCAATCTCACCTTGTCTCACTGTCCTCAACACCAGAGCCCGTCCTTGCTGTGAAGACAAACAGACTGCTGTACTTTTTCCTGTACTAAACAGGAAAGGAGCAACCAAAATAAGCTGCAGCCCCGCTGTACTTTTCAGCCACTCCATTAGAAAACCCAAGTCAGAGATATTCTTGGGGTTTTTTGTCTGGTTGTTGAAATATAATCTGGAAAAAAAAAATCTGTGTGTTATTATGC